AAAGGGAGAGAGACAGACAGATAGGTAGACAGACGTGATGCAACTAGAAGACATTGTTCTGCCTGTTGCTGGATGAACAGGTCAACCAATCACTTTTGGCCTTGGCTAAATGATAGATGTTCATTTGGGGAATGTTTCGGGTTTAGTGCAGCGTGTTAAGCTTTATCAGGAACGTCTAAAACACGCTCTGAAAATAAATTAGAATCATCCCTCTTTTTATTAAATTAAATATCACGTTTACTATAATGGGAAGAGGAATCTGGAGGGTTTTTAAACAGAAATGCGAAGCTCGTATTTTTGTTAAAGCTCTCATATTAATTATTCCATATAAATGTGTGTTATTTGAGCTATCTAAGTCTTTTCTTTAGAGGCAGGACTACTGTTATAGGTGTACTTTATGCATAGTTGCGTCATCATGTCGCTTCCTGGCGGTTTTGTGTGCAAAGAGTTACTAGGTATACCTGCGTTACATGGTAATGGCAGGAGTTGGAGAATATAGGAGGATATAACCTTACACTGAAAGTGTGTTTAAGTGATTCTATCACACGAGTCTCATGTCGAAGTCACAATGAAATTGATGTTGTTGCTTCAAAGTGTAACATTTAATTGTAATTGGTGAGGACTTGGTTGTGTCCATTGGTTGTTGATCGGAGTTTAAGATGTGGGTGTTACATACATAAACGAATGCATGCTTGCAGATGAGGGTGGGGTTTAAATCCGGGTTATTTCACCAGAGAAGTCATCTTCACTGGAAGGTCAAGTTATTACATTTTCGTTAAGCATTGTGAGGTCCAAAAAAAAAATTATTAAAAGATATACATGGTCATTTGTTCGCAATACTATCTATAACATGCATTTAGAAAATAGACGTGAATTCTGTGAATGTGAAAATTTGGTGAAATTTCATAGCATGCCGACACATAAAATCTTCCAAGATGATTTATCTAAGAAAAAAAATCTGAATATCATAAGTTGCGTGTTCAAATTCAATTAATTTGATTTATATAGTTCAAAAAATAATTTATATAGGAATGCATTTTATATATATATAGTTTCCTTTTTTATTAAATGTCATAAATTTAGATGGCACAGACGAAACACTTTGACGTATTAGTTTGCTCGCGATCGGCAGCAGATGTCTGATGCATTCGGATTTATGATCAAATGTGGGAATTTGCATTTGTGTTTACATTGTATGCACATTTCTTTTGCCTAATAAAAATGTATCCAAACACGTTTTGAAAATTTAAATGGCATATGTTTGAAATGCGATTAAATGGAAACCCAGCTACGGTGTGTTTTAACATTTTATTGTCTTACTCCATTGACTTGATTTATGCAAACTATGGGTTGAGTCAGATTTCTTTTTGGTGATTATTGAGAGCATTTCACCAATGCTTATATTGATCCCAGCACAGGGATAATTCACCTTAAATTGAAAACTCTGACATAATTTACTAGGGCTGGGTATCGATTCAGATGTCCCGATTCGATTCGATTTCGATTCGCAAGCTCTCGATTTGATTCTCGATTTTTTGATTACATTCAGTGAATCTAGTTTTAATACACATGCTATTATTTTTGTTGGTGAAATAGAGCAAAAACAAGCAATATGGTGTCTAAAACGTAAGTCTCTTAATTAACTTATTGTTTATTGAATTCAATGTCACATTTGTAATCATGGTAATTTTTGGAGAAAAACGGCACTCTTCGTGTGAAACTGAATAACTATATGAAGTGGTATAAATATATAAATTTTCTGCCATCATGTCTTGAATTTGTGATCATTCTAAATGCATTTTAATAGCCTGAATCATGCAGTGAAAGAACACACACTAAATGACTTCACGTAATGTATGCGTGCGCTCTGTAGGGATGTTTTGAATGGTTTTTGCAAAATACTCGATAATGTCAAATCGCACATCGTTAAAACAACAATTACGATATTATCGCAGACGATATATATCGCACACCCCTACTCCCCCCATACTACTCCAACCATTCGGCTGCATTTTACTATACAACTACCACTTTTTTAAATCCTATTTTTATTTTAAATATATATATATATACACAGTACTTTCAGCACCTTTTGTTCCTGGGTCAATGGCTGCTTGTGTGTCAGATGTCTGCTGACTCAGTAGGCAGTGTTACATGCAGGCGGCCGCTGTATGTGTGTGCACATGCTAGCATGATGAGCAATGCTGCCAGACGCTGAGCTGTCGTCCCATGATGCCGAACCAAACTACCCCCAGTGCTAACACATTTGTGTCACACCAGTTTACCATCGCAAACACATGTGCAAGCTCAAGCATGCTGAGAACAACACACAGTATAGACTTTGTGGATGGGAAAGGCCTGTATTTAGCATAAAAGTATATATTTATTTTACACTCACTTGTTTCTGTAGATATGTGAGTGTCATCCATTGTGCATGAGAGAAGATATTATTCCTGGTGCAACAGCATTGTGGGGATATTTATTTGTTTGTTTATATTTTGTTTTTAGTATTATTTCTTTCTTTTACTTGTTTATTTTTGTATTTGCCTATTTATTTTTACATGTAATTTTTAGTTTTGTGACATCTGGATCAATGTGTATGGTGTACCAAGTCTTGATGTCTCTACTCTACTAAAACTTGAAAAGAAAAATTAAGTAAATTTTACTTGTTGTTTTTTCAGTGTAGAATGCGGGGAATCTGTGATGATGATGATTATGATTATGTCATTGTGGCATTTGCATGTACACTGCCCTTCAAATGTTTGGGATCAGTAAGTTTTTTTTTTTTAATGGAGTCTCTTCTGCTCATCAAGGCTGTATTTGTCTGATCAAAAATACAGAAAAAACACTAATATTGTGAAATATTATCGCAATTTCTAATATTGGTTTCCTATTTTAATACACTTTAAAATATAATTTATTTCTGTGATGCGCAGCTGTATTTTCAGCATTATTACTCCAGTCTTCAGTGTCACATGATCTTCAGAAATCAGTATAATATGCTGATTTATTATCAGTGTTGAAACTGTTGTGCTGCTTAATATATATTTTTTGGAACCTGTGATATTTTTTCTTTGATTCTTTGATGAATAGAAAGTTAAAAAGAAAAGCATTTATTCAGAATAGGCATCTTTTCTAACAATATAAGTCTTTACTATCACTTTTTATCCATTTAACACATCCTTGCTGAATAAAAGTATTAATTTCTTAAAAAGAAAAGAAAAAATGTACTGACCCCAAACTTTTGAATAGTAGGGTATACTGCAGCACAACATTTCTATTTTGAATAAACACTGTTCTTTTTAACATTTTATTTAACAAAGAATCCTGAAAAAAGTCTCTCAGATCCCCAAAAAATATAAAGCAGCACAACTTTTCAACATTGATAACAAAGAAATGTTTCTTGAGCAGCAGATCAGCATATTATACTGATTTCTGGAGATCATGTGACACTGAAGACTGGAGGAATGATGCTGAAAATACAGCTGCGCATCACAGAAATACATTACAGTTTAAGGTACATTAAAATAGAAAACGTTTATTTTAAATTGCAATAATATTTCACAAAATTACAGTTTTTTTCTGTATTTTTGATCACATATATACAGCCTTGAAGAAACTTCTTTTAAAATCGTACTGATCCCAAACGTTTGAACGGCAGTGTCTTTGCAACCTCTATTGATCTATTCTTTTCAAGCCATCATTTTTATCAACTCATTTTAGATACTGAATTAGTTGCTCTAAGTTCGAGTAATATTTTCATCTTTCGAAGTTCTGTAGCGGACGAAAGGCACATCGAGACATCAGAGACCAGAATAGCTTTTAATACCTAAGCTCGAAACTTTTTTTTTTTTTTTTGTGTGTGTGTGTGCAAATTTCGCGTTGTGTAGACACGACCAGACTGTTTTGCACAAGATGCTGAATTGGTCATTTTAGACTTACTCATTTGTTTTTATTGAAGTGTACCACCAACATGTCATTTTTGTCAGACCCCTCTGTCTATAAAGCATGTGTTGTTGGAATGTACTGCTTTAAATGCCACTATGCAACTTTTTTACTCAGGCGGTTCTTTAATGAATGTTTTTTAATGTTTAATAATCAGAAGTTTTATCCGATATTGAAATGTAAAATCTTATAAAGTGCTAGTTATATTGGTTGTCAGTGGTTGTTTTTCATTACTGCTGTGTTGCTGCTATTTGTTTCTTTTAAAATACATTGATCTTGGCATAAAAATAGCCATAGATGCTGGTATGGCTATAAAATAAACACATAAATAAATATATAAATGCTTCTTTTTTTTGCTTCCAACACTGACCAGACCATTTATATTAAATATCAAAGCCTACTTTGAATATCAAAAGAGCACATTTTTTTCTTCAGGTTTAGAGTGTGTACTCTTTGGTTTCAGGGTTTAAAGTACTAAACTGTAAAGTACCATTGTAGTTGAAGCAGCAATCCATGACGTATATATCAGCATGATCGCATATGTCAGTATACTGTTTATTGAGCATGCTTTATTTAAGTGCTTTACAGCATGAAAGTTCTTATGTGTTTTATTAGCTTCCAGTAACAAAGTGCTATTTTTACTTTCATTTTCTCTCTGCATTTTATTTTTTATTTTATTTTATATTTTATATTTTATTTGTATTATTATATATATATATTTTTAATTTAATTTAATTAAATTTTGTTTATTTTTTTTATTTAATTTAATTTTATAATTTATATTTTATATTATAATATTTTTTTTATATTTTATTTTATTTTATATTTTTTATTTTTTATTATTATTATATATATATTTTTTTAATTTAATTAAATTAAATTTTTAATTTAATTTAATAAATTTTTTATTTTATTTAATTTTATATTTAATTTAATTTAATTTTTTATTTTTTTTTATTTTATTCGAGACACCCTTTCATTGCATAACATGGTAATATTTTATTTTATATTTTATTTTATTTTATTTTATTTGAGACACCCTTTCATTGCATAACATGGTAATATGCTTCTACAGTAGGTCTATATACTGTCTGTCTTTAACTTTCTCTGTGTCTGTGATTTTGTTTAGAGACGTGAAGGCTGGTAATATCCTGCTGACAGAGCCCGGTCAGGTCAAACTGGCTGATTTTGGCTCCGCTTCCATTGCCTCTCCTGCCAACTCCTTTGTGGGAACCCCATACTGGTCAGTATCGCAGACACTGATGTTCAGGAAGATGATGCATCCTGATGCTCCAGGGTTAATTAGACAGTTGTGTGTGTTTCTACCACAGGATGGCTCCAGAAGTGATTTTAGCTATGGATGAGGGTCAGTATGAGGGGAAGGTGGACATCTGGTCTCTGGGGATCACTTGCATAGAGCTGGGTGAGTGTCTTCCAGTTTTTTTATTTAATATTTCATCCGTGTTTCTTTTTTTCATTAAAAAGTTGGTCCCGTGAATTTGCCAAGCTGACCAACAGAAAGCTGCTTGGTTTGAAAGTGACTTCTCTATAAGCAGTGTTTCATTCATCGCTACACTATTGACAATGGAAAATTAACCCTTTTTTGACTCTGAAATTTTACTCATAATTCTATATGACTGTGCTCTTTATATGTCATTTGTATCTTGTATTTATAACAACATAAATCAAGCGTAGTAGATGAAAGCGGTGGAATAATTATTACCATTATCTACTATTGTAGTGGACAGATGTGATGTTTTGGTGTGAAAGGAAAATTTTCAAGTGTGCACTGCATTGGCAAAGTGTGCACTTTGCAGCAAACAAAATCCAAGTATTGGAAAGTACAACTTCATAAAATTGTCTTTTTTTTTGCATTGGCGAGCTGTCATGTGCTTCCTTGCTGAGTACATACTTATAATATATGCAATATGCAAGTAGCATATTACTCTGATGACACACTGTGGTTTTGAACACACACACACTCTTTAAAATTAAGGTTCAAAAGGGTTCGCAGCAGGTTTCCGCAGCAACGTCATAGAAGAACCATTTTTGGTTCCCTAAAGTACCTTTAAGTAAACAGTTCTTAACTCTTTCCCCACCAATCACGAACTTTTCCGTTATTCATGAGACAACGCTTCCCCGCCAAGCATGGCATTTTCACTGTTATGCGCTAGGGGGCGCTATCACGCATCTCCTGAATGAGTCTTGAAAGTGCCGATCAAAAACACAGACCAGGAAGACGCAGAAACGAGCGATTTCATAAGTAAGCATATGCATATGAAAAATAATGCGATCGTCAACACTAGCTGAAATGAAAACTGCCTAGTGTTACACAGTGAAATGTCAATCCAGGAAGTGGAAAAGTCCTGTGCAAGCTTTGGGAATAGGCTACTGATGGAAGCCATCTACTGCATCTTTGATTTGATCATATTACTAAATATGATCCAGATGTAGTATTTGATAAAAATGCGATTTTCTCAGATTTTTGCTCAAAATGTTACTTTTTTATGAAACCTACCAACATTCAAGTGTAGATAAAAAAAACAGTGCTAGAATAAAATTGATTATTTTGTTTGAAAGTAGAGGGTCGGATCTTTATTTTGATGTATTGCATGTTCGGATATTCATACAACAAAATATTCTGGGGGCCATGAAATTTTAGTGAAAATCAGCAAAAGCGCTGGCCGTGGCTGGCAACGTTTTTCAAAAACGCTGGCGGGGAAAGAGTTAAAAGAACCATTTTTTTTTTTTAGTGTAAAGAATATTTCTAATTTTCTGTGAAACCTATCTTTCCGTTATAAAGACCCTTTGGTGCAATGCAAATGTTCCATGGATGTTAAAGTTTCTTCATGGAACCATCAGTGCCAATAAAGAACCTTTATTTTTAAAGTGTGCTACTCCTAATATTGCATGCTATACAAGACGAATGGGATTTAGTCTAAATATTGACATGCTTGAAATAACTCTGCTGTTGATTAGCATATGCATGTATATTTATTCACAATCTATGCAATATGTCACAAATTTTCTGTTTGAGAATTTCAGCACGTTTGATGATTTCTTACACCTCGACTGTTTTCTAGCTGAACGTAAGCCTCCTCTCTTCAACATGAACGCAATGAGTGCCTTATACCACATCGCCCAAAACGACTCTCCCACCTTACAGTCCAATGAGTGGTGAGTGTCCTTCCACAGTCACAAAACAGAAGTTGACTCACTCGTATAGAGATATGTGTATATATACTCCTACTCATCAAACATATATATACTCTCTCAACCACACTCTCCTCTCACACTTTAACTCTTATGCAATAACCCTAACCCCGACTGTCAGTTCTTTACAATTCCTGATCTTGTGCATTATTGCACAAGCAAACTTTCAGTGCCCTTCAATTCTCTGACCTGCAGCAAAATGAAAGCCTGCTGGTCTTTCAAGCAGTGTTGCCTTTCGTCGATAGATCTGGAAATTGAAAGGCTGTCTGAATGAGCCAGAATATTGCTGAGGGTGTAAAAGTTACTTCGGTGACCAACTTTTATTGATTTCACAGTTTTTATATGGAGGAGATAGGATTTTTACACACACACTCTCACACTCTCTCTCTCACACACACACACACACGCACACACACTCGCTCACACTCTCTCACACACTCACACACACTCGCTCACACGCTCTCACACACACGCACACACACACACACTCTCACACACTCTCACACACACACACACACACACACTCGCTCACACTCTCTCACACACACACACACACTCACACACTCGCACACACTCTCACACTCTCTCTCTCACACACACACACACACTCACACACTCGCACACACTCTCACACTCACATACACACACACACACACACACACAGGTTTGTTTTTGTGAAAAGTGGGGACTCTCCATAGGCGTAATGGTTTTTATACTGTACAGACCGTATATTCTATTGTCCTACACCACCCCTACCCCTAAACCTACCCCTCACAGGAGACTTTCTGCTATTTCAGATTTTCAATACACTCCATTCTGTGTGATTTATAAGCGTTTTGAAAAGTGGGGACATGGGGTAATGTCCTGAAAAGCCACCTTCTCCTTGTAATACCTGTCATACCTTTGTCATTATACACATTTATGTCCTCATTTGTCACAAAAACGCGTACACTCGCACACACTCTCACACTCTCTCTCTCACACACACACACACACTCACACACTCGCACACACTCTCACACTCACATACACACTCACACACACACACACAATTTACAATACCTTTCAAAGGTTTAGGGTCAGTATGTGTTTTTTTGTGTGTCTCTTGTGTTCATTAAGGCTTTTTTTATTTTTACATTTAAATACAGTAAAAACAGTAATATTGTGATATATTATTACAATGCACCGGCGTTTATCCGAGGATAGTGAATGGATTCAACAGATCACACGCACCTGCAGCGTAACAATTTTGGCCACCACTGTATTTGTACAGTAAGTATCCTATGATAATAAGCATAATACTGTAACTGTTGTTTGTATTTTGTGAAGGTCGGATGCATTCCGGAGTTTCGTTGACTACTGCCTACTAAAAATTGCTCAGGACAGACCCTCCTCAGCAGAACTCCTGCGGGTGAATAATCGCATGCACACAATGTTCACATATGCAGGGGAGATTATCATGCCACATTAAAAGTCACTCATAAGCATTGCTCATCGAAGTTCTAGCACGACTTCTGAGTGCCCACACACTACTGTTAATTCATTCCCAATCTGAGTCACGTTCTCAAACACACTTGCTGGGGGAAGGTGAAGTACTCATGTGATATTCACATGGATCGTTACGTTTAGGCTTAGAAATGCAAATTTATGCAGCTTAATCTCACGTCGTGAGACTTTTAATAGCATATGGTCCGGTTTACATTACAGCTGATAACGGCAAAGAACTGCAGAATTACGCAGGAAGAGACTGTCTGAGATATAGAGTGGTCTAGTGGTCGGATAAAGTGGTTAACTAGAGTTTCTATGTGTCGCTTATGAGCAGGTTTATCAGAAATGGATACGGTCATAAATAGACTTACTTCAAGTCTTCAAGAGCGGTTGCTTGAAAAGCAACACAAGCTTACTTTCTTGAGTTGCATTTCAGGAATGTGTCATATTCATAAATTGTGCAATTCATAAAAAAGCAAGTACACTACAGATGGTTTTTCTTTTTCTTTTTAAAGAAATTAATACTTCTATTTAGCAGTGATGCATTAAAATGATGAAAAGATGATAGTTGAACATTGTGTAAATTACAAATAAAAAAATAAAATAAAATAAACGCTGTTCTTTCGAACTTTGTTCAGCAAACTATTCTGAAAAAATCGTGGTTCATGGTTTCCACAAACATATTAATCAGTGCAACTGTTATTAACATAGATACTAATAATAAATGTTTCTTGAGCGTTAAATCAGCATATTAGAGTGATTTCTGAAGGATCATGGAGGACTGGAGTAAAGATGCTGAAAATTCAGCTTGGCACACAGTAATAAGTTTCATTTTAAAATATATAAAAAAATAAAGCAGTTATTTTAAATTGAGCAGTTATTTTTTAAAGATTTTACTGTATTTTATCTAGTGCTGTCAAACGATTAATCGCGATTAGTCGCGTCCAAAATAAAAGTTTTTGTTTGCATAATATATGTGTGTGTGTGCTGTGTATATTTATTATGTATATATAAATACACACACGTACAGTATATATTTTGAAAATGTTTACATGTATTTACATGTCTATATTTATATTCATATAATTTATATTATAAATAAATATATTTAATATATAAAAATAACAAAATATATACATGCTTGTGTGTGTGTATTTAAATATATATGCATAATAAATATACACAGTACACATACATATATTATGTAAACAAAAACTTTTATTTTGGATGCGATTAATCGCGATTAATCGTTTGGCAGCACTAATTTTAGCAAATATATGCAGCCTCAAAAACTAAAAAAATCTGCCAAGCTTTTGAACTGTGTTGTAAATGTTGCATTCTCAGTGTTTTTTGTATATTGCTCTCTGTTTTTTTTTTTTTCCTCCTTTCATCATAAGTTCGTTTAACTAGTGATATGTTTGTAGCACAGGAAACTCTGCTGTCCGCTTGATTACACAGTAACCGCCCACACGTTACTAAACCTCAGTACGCCGTGCATAATGCGTAAAAACATCAATATCTGCCCTTTCACAGAGATAAAGACGCCCCTGTGCAGTTGGTGAGTGCACTTCCTCTTCGCCATATCTGTCAGTACTTCCTGCTCTCATGACAGGGCTTCCTCTCTGCTGACTCACACACATACACGTTTTCATATGCACAGCCAAGCGCTCAACCCACAGAGCATGCCATTCTGCTGTTTCTTTCATTTGCTGCGGCAACTACATCCTTGGAGGGTTAATAAAAGCAGGAGGAATTTTCGATTGTGCGTGTCTAACGTAACTAATAACCATGACTTTCTCAACTGAATCACTGGGGCTGTAGGTGGACATATTACTGCGCGGTGACTAATGGTCGTGATATCACGCTGTGGTGGGAGGCTTATGGATTTAAATCGTTACCAAAATAAATGAGTGATAGAGTATAGTGGTACAGTTGGGATATGGGTAATTGTTGGCTGCAGGGAAGCTCTGGATACGTGATCATTAAGGGAAAGTGCGACCAGTGTGATTTGTTTGTTTGTTTGCGCACTGTATGTGTCTGTTTGTGTGGGTGCATGTTACAGGTTACGGTTGATCTCATTGGTGGATGCAGGTAATCCTGTTTAGTCCTGAGAGCTTAGTGTTGATGCTAGGCACGCACTTCAGATGGGATATGGGCGCCTAGAGGATTTCATCTGATTTTTTTTGCAAAAACACCACTAAAAAGTTATATAGTGTATGTATATAAATTCTATATATGCTCATGCAACTTCAAAATTCTGATGCTGAATTTTACTTTAACACCCACATTTTTTTTCTTGTATTTGTATTTATGTCACCAGTGTCAAAGACAAGTTTCCGCTCTGTGACAAGCAGAATGGACAATAAAGTTAAGATAAACTAAATTAAAGTTGTAATGGAACAGTTAAATTGGCTGAAAATGTGCTCATCCTCAGGCCATTTAAGATGTAGATGAGTTTGTTCTTCATGGGAACAGATTGGGAGAAATGTAGCATTGCATCACTTGCTCACCAATGAATCCTCTGCAGTGAATGGGTGCCGTCAGAATGAGAGTCCAAAAAACATCACAATAATCCACAAGTAATCCACACCACTCCAATCCATCAAATGACATTGTGTAGTGAACATCTGTGTTTGTAAGAAATGTTAACTTTAAACAGTCTCTTCTGGCTAAAATACAAGTCCACAATCCATAATAGCATTGTTTGATTAAGAAACAATTTGGATGGCCTGCGATTGGGTACATTTTCAGCTAATTTTAAGGTCCCACTTTATATAAAGTGGCCTTAACTACTATGCACTTACATCAAAAGATAAGTACAATGTTCTTATTGCGTTGATATTGTATTGCAAAACACTTTTGCTGCTATTGAGGTTGGATACGGGTAGGTTAGAGACAGGTTTGGTGGTATGGGTAGGTTTAAAGGTGGGTTAAGGTGTAAGGGATGGGTCAACAGTGAAATTATAGATGTAATTAAAGAAACTAATTACAGATGTAATTACATGCAGGTATTTTTAAAATACAAGTACAATGTAAAAAACATGTATGTACACAATAATTGCATTGTACCGAATGATTAATTTAAATGTAAGTACATAGAATTTAAGGCCTCTTAAAGTGGGACCAATTTTAAATTTTGGGTGTAATATTCCTTTAATTTTCTTGAATATTTCTAGTATCCGTGTATCTATAATGCAGTGATATAAGACTTGAGGCTGTACGGACCAAATAGTCATGAGTCCGTGACTACATTTTTTCAAAGTTACATCTCAAAAAGTAGCCTTTTGTTTCCTTCTGTTTTTTGTTTTGTTGGTGAATATCCACTTCATCCAGTGCTATTTGTTCTCTGTGTATCTTACTGTCTTTACTGACTGAGAAACCGCTTCAGATGATTCGGTGAGAGAGCGGTCTGAACCAATGTGAATTGATTCAGACTGTTTTGCTAACTCATTTGGCCAATTCTCTAAATAGAAAGAACGGATTCAAAATAATGATTCATTCTTTAGGGGAGGGGGATTAATTTCGATCCAGTTTTGCTCTCCCATTCCTCTCTAATACCTCAAGACTGTCCTTCCAAGCTTCTTAAGACCGAGGTCATTAATCTGAGTCTAGCGTTCATTTATTCTATTCCCACCATTTGCAGCTTCCCAACTGCTGTCTTAATCTCACATGGGGTCTAAATCCACCTCTGTTCTTGACCTACAGAGGTCTTGTGCATTGAGAACGAGCAGTGAATATCACTCACGATCTGACAGAGCTGGCTCTCTGCAAGACTTCAGATTATGTAATTTCTTACATTTAAATGGGATTATCCTGTAGATTAGTTTCTTCCCAGGCTGGTCAGTCACAGATGTCGGTTTAGAGTGGCGAATGCTTATCGGTGTTATCACCGAGCTGTTAGCTGTAACTGTCTTTGCCGGGCTTAACGGTTGAGCCGTTTGCTTTACCCGCTCGCAACACAGACGTGACCTGCTTAAACGAAATGTGTTGTCAACTGAATTTGTGATTCCATTC